CATTCTCCAAGTGAAATTTTCGATTGAGAACAAATTTCCGCATTTTTGGATGAGACTGTTTCTTCAAACTTCAGATCCATTCTCGTTGTCGTTTGTTGATTATTTCCTCGTAATCAACACTTTCGAAAGGCAGCCGGTGCAAAATTAAGTCTAATGATCTTTCGGATCGGAAGTAATCATCGGAAATGCAATCAAAAATTTCTTGTTCTGTTCATATTCAAACTAACTGCATTGGAAGTGCTCATCATATCTTATGACAAACATCAGTGTAAGAAGCGATGCAGAAAGAGTGGCTGCTAAATTCATATCGCTTAATTACACACTAGGTTCTGGTACAAAACGGAATATTGTGAATGCACAAAGAAAAAATTATACTATATGAAGAAGCAGATGAAGAAGAAAGACGTTACATATGGACAATGTTAGTTAGAGGGATTTATTGCAGATTATCTAGTTATTGTATGAAGAATATCATTTTTCCATTAGCGGAATCAACAAAGAATTCGAAAGATAGACATCGAATAAAGGACAAAAAGTGTTTCCTTACTAGTGTTCATTGAGGAACAAGGTACCCGACAGGGAGCAATTCCCCGGCACTTTTGCTCCCCAACTTTCTGGTCTAGGTTACTCTCCCACCCCCATTCAACTCCCTCTCCGATATTTTGTCGGGTCTTCTCCCTTCATTCCGGCCAAAAAGTTGCTCCTTGGCAAACATCACTTCTAAATATAATGAATTGATTGAAAAATGTGGGATATAGTTCAGTTTTGATTCGTAGAGGGTACGAAATGGTGCAGCGCTCACGAAACGCACTTGTTATGGAATAAAATATTTTGTTTATTCGAACAGAGGAATGTTTTGAAAATGAAACATGAAAAAAAGCGAATTTCCAAAATAAACTCATGAATGAGTGCCGCCTGCAACACCAAACCACTCACAATCAGTTCAATATTCCTTCTTAAATTCATTCAAGACGAAAGTTTGTGATGCAATAATTTCACATAAATTACGGTTTCGATGGGAGTGTGTTCGTACGCCTCTGTCATCACCAAATCAATAATTTTTTACGAAGGCAGGTGATTGATGTCGTTAGCTATGCGGAAGGAAGGAAGTCGATGACGGCAAAATATGATACTGGTGACAGTAGACAACGTAAACTCCTAATGAGTAGCAATTGCTGATAAACTAAATAAATATGGCTTTGATATATGCGACCGGTTGTCTCACACTTCAATCTGTATACTTCATCTTATTTGAGTTAAACTTTAAACGATGGATCCTAACGAACTGAATCAAGAACTATGAAACAATTTAACATTAAAAGTGATAATGAGCAAAAAAAGATTAACATAAATAAGATTTGTTTTTTAATTTACTAATAACGATCCTGAATGCATCACAGTGCTTGTTGAAATAATCAATGAACGAAGTGAATTTTGGTATTTATTCCATAAATGACTAATCGAAAGGCCTATAATAATCATTTATGAAATTTGATGATTATGATTCTCAGAAAGTTAATCAATCTAATCAACACTTACTTTAATTCGTATATCAATATTGAACATCTGAAAGAGACACAAATTGGAAGATGAAAAGAGAAAAAGATTATTCCGAAGGTACAGATGGCTTGCTTAATTGCTTTTCTCCGTGAATATTGTTTGTTAACTCTATTGACGACTTGAACAGATGAGGGTTGTTTTTTCGGGCTGAGAAAAAAAGTACCATGACTGAAATGAATTATGATTATTATTATTATTATCATTATAATGCAATATGACAATAATCGCAGTCATTGGGCTCTTACGAAACCAATCATCTGTGCAAACGCAACCCGGTCCACACAACTACTGCTTTGCAAGTGGGTAAAGATGAAAGTGCTTCAGAAATCTCAAATTTGGTGGTTTATGCATAGTTTATTTGAATGGAAAAATGCTTTTCCTTATCATAGAATCTCTACTTTCTCTAGTGCGCAAACTACTGCAAATGTATTCAGCAGATGAGTCGTCGTCGCTATGTTTTTATGATATGTTGAGATGATTATCGTTGTTTTTCACTTACATGTCACTCACCTTCGTTCCACATCATCTTCACATCTTGACCCGGTCAAATCCTTTTCCACGAACACAAAGTTTTTGTGTTATTCTTAATTGGTAATAAATTATAATCGATTCTAAAAATTTATGTGCAATCGTCATAAAATCATTGATAGCGTCTGAAACAGTTCGAGGTGTTTTAATGTGCTCTCAGAAATGTGCAGGTACGATAAACGTCAAATGACTACAGCTGCTTCCAGTGGTGGGCAATGGCGGCTATTTGCTTTTCCGCTGTTAGCGGAGCTAATTTTCTCGGTGGAGTGAAAGCATGTTACTTTTTTTCACATAGCTGACGTTTGTAGCGATAACTTCCGTTACAATAATTTTTTAGTATTCCTTACAAAAAGTAGCACAAAGTATTTACTATCTTTGGTTAATGTTTTAGCAAGCTATTTTTTTGTTGAGATTTCTGCCAGCTGGCTACTTTTCGTTTGTAAGGGAATGTTCATTTTCCTCAGCATCAACACATTTGAGTACATGATTACAAGTGCTCCATTCAAACTTATCACATTTGTCCTTGTCTTAATAGGTCGGAGTTGAATATACAGTCAGAGTTGAATAGTGAGCTATTTTTAGTGAAACAAAAACATTTTTGAAAGCGAATTAACGATTTGCAGAGTTACTTTTTTTTAGTAGTGTGTCCATCACTGATTGTTTCCAATCACCAAATATTTTCTCATCACAAGGATGAATAAAATAGTCATTTATATTTTAGAATTATACCAGTGGATCGAAAAGTTCCTATAAAAAAACTACGAAAGTGCCTCCACTTGGGGAGAGGATTGCCGCGGCAATGGGGAATACCCATCAATGGAGGAGGTCTAGTGGAAAGGATGAGGGCTCGATTAGAAATAGATATTATACTAGAGAGAGAAAACATCAGGTCTTGCTAGCGATGAAAGAGACTAATCTAGCAAACCAGCGATGTTAGACACACTTCATACCCAGAGCCTCAATCGTCGATGCAAAATCAGATGGTTGTTTTATCAAAAAAAACTTTTGTTAATTGAGCCTGTGGTCCCATGAAAAAAATGTATTGGCTGTGTATTCAACGCCTGAGGTGCATTCAAAGAAAAAATGGCTGCTCATACCCACCTAATTCGGAGAAGTAGGAATTTTATGCAGTTTCATTGATCATCTGCATTTCCCCTCAAACAAATCATCTAAATTTTCGATACTTGTACACCGCGTAGATATACACACGTGCATGTGAGCCGAATTCCATGCGTAGGATCATCGTTGGATGAGCGTACCTACTTAGCTGGGGATAACTCAGTGTGTGTGTGTGTGTGTATGTCGGGTGAGCGACAAATCAGTCCGAATCCGTAATACGTCATTTTGAAACGCATAGTCGGTCAGGAAACTTCGTTGGGGTCGACTTTTAAGCGATGTGTACGCATGTTCACCGTTGTGTGCTTATATTATAAAACGCATTGGATGAAATATTTGCAGATATACGGAATAAACGAGAAACGCTGCGTGCATTAGGTAGTGCTGCTGGATTGACCGGCACTTGCATGGCTACGGATATATGTCAGCGTGAAATATGTCGACCGTGTGACTTTAATGTTACGTTTTATTGGTTCTCTGAGAAGCATTTGCACATGTTGTGGATCTTATTTGCTAAGGTTTTTGTCTCATTCAACTTTTTCTCTCAATCTGTTGTTGTTGTTCCATCGTAGTTGTTGAATTTCCATGGTCTCATGCATTTTATTATGATTTTATTGTTCATCTCACGCATCTTAGGCATTATCATTTTATTATTGTATGATCTGAAGCAGTGTGATTTTCTACTCCACTCATGTTTTCCTGATGATTTTATTCAATTATTGCATGATTCGTTGTTGATATCGTTATTCCATTATTGTATGATCTCATGCGTAATGATCTTATCATTTGATTTTATTCAGAAGTGTTTGTTGTTTCGCATCATTGTTTCGAATATTTGTTTTTAATTTTGATATTAATTATGGATTTTTTTTTGTTTTTATATGGAATGGTTCCTATAGAGTGAAAAATAAATGAATTTTCCTATCTGCTGTATTCATTCACACCTCAGAAAATCAACTGAGCTCGTAGTTATAACTCACATTATGAACTGCAGTATTAGCGGCAGCTTTTTACACATCTTAATTAATGGAAACTACTAATGCACCGCATTCTGTTGCGATTCATCAGGGGACATAGCCCCAGGTTTGCCCCGAGATCCCACAGTTCAGGCGGTTGTTTGCAGGAGTGATCCTGATCAATACAAGAGATCGTGATATATCGACTAATACGCGTTTTATAATACAAGCACACGAAGGTGAATATGCGTACGCATTGCTCGAAAGTCGAACCGAAACGAAGTTTCTTGACCAACTATGCGTTTCCGGACTCGTTGCGTATGGATTTGTCGTAGACCATGTATGTCGCGCATGTGCTGTACAAGTGCAAACATTTCATGTACATTGTGAATTCTGCAAAAATTTTGCATAACGTTGACTTTTACTCTTATCCAACATGGAAATGAGGTGTGCTTTACTAAAACAACACGGAGAGATCGTCGAGTTTGGCACTTAAAAAATCATCAGATCACTGTAGAAAGTTGTTTTGACAGCAGGCGACTACGGGAAATTGTGATTCCAGTGCATAAATATGAAAATAATGTGGGTAAGATCATGACGGAGATGGAATAGACCGTGCCCAGCAATTTGTAAGCACCCGCTATATTATTTGTAATAATATTTTGTGTTTTTTTCTTGTACTTTGCAGTCTGATGTAATTATACATGGAAGAATATGCGTTGATTCATTACTAATTACGCTGGTTAATCCAATAAGCACTGGTTGGTTACATCCAACTGCTTCGGTGAAGTACATCCACGAATATCGTTTGAACAACAGCCTATTAACAAGAGTACAAACATGGCAAACAAGGTTGAAAGTAACACTCAGCAATGGTGCGTATCATTTTCAGTGCTCGAATGATGATGATATTGTTTGATGAACATTCGTCGTTTTTGACGATAGTAATTGTTTGTATTCTCCGATTCACTTATTTGAGAAGCTATACGTTGTAATCGAAGTAGGTTGAAATGAAATGGTTTTCGTTAGGTTCTGGTCGTGGAGTAATTTCTCACTGGATGCATTGGCGGAAGCGGAGTCGAGACTTTTTTCAGCTGTGCGGTCCAGCATTATCTCAAAATTCATCAATGTTAGTCAAGTCTGATGTTCACTTTTAGGAAGTAATGTTTAAAATCTAAAAGACCGATGCTTGAGCATATCGTTCCGCATGAATTCTTATATACTCTTATCCGAAAGTTTGCGATCCCCCAAGTCATCAATAAAGATATTGATAACGAACTTATTCTTATAGGTACGTTTAGCCTGCAGTCAAATATATACGATAACAGCAAAAACAGAAACAACAAACGAACGTCTTGTGCCATTAGTATTCATCCACGGATTTGCAGCAGGTGTCGGTATCTGGGCATCGAATATCGATTGTGTTGCTGAACGTCGTACGGTTCATGCTATTGACCTACTCGGTCTGTTTTTAAAGCAATCACTCTGCTACTATTTTTTTCAGCACTCAATTCGTGTAATTTTAGGGAAGAGTTTAATCAGAATCTATTATTATCAGGATTTGGCCGTTCCTCTCGTCCTCAATTCAGTCGTGATCCGACGTTAGCTGAACTCCAATACGTACAATCAATTGAGGATTGGAGACGTGAGATGAACATAGATCGAATGATTATTGTTGCTCATTCTTTTGGTTCGTTCACTTAATGTGCAGAGTTACCCGTGCGATTCAGTAATCATTCAGTTTAATTATTTTCGATTTCAGGAGGCTACTTAGCCAGTTCATATGCACTCGAGCATCCGGATCGTGTTCGTCATTTGATACTCGTTGATCCATGGGGATTTCCCGAGAAACCAACTGAAGATCGTCAGGTTAGCTGTCCTTTGTTAAGATTTTACGATCATTCGATGAATTCGTCGATGATTAAATTTCTGTTCTGTGTTGAGAATCTTATTCCAATCATAATCCATCAACTGAATTCATTTGGAGATTAAACCAGTTGCATGGATTCGTGCTGTCGCAACGGTTGCATCGATGTTTAATCCGTTATCAGCCCTACGGGCTGCAGGACCATATGGTGTGTTCATTTGTCTCTCTCAGCGTCATTGATTAATACGTTAACATCATAATTCCCTTCTTGTTTTCGTGCATTTTCGCTATTGATTTTGATTGCTTTTTGATGTTAGTTGCCTACAAAAAAAGTACCGATTCTCATGAAGGCAAGTCATTTGCAACTTTTGTTTTTGCCTTTTCAGGCGCAGCACTGGTGAAAAAGCTGCGTCCAGATTTGGCACTGCGTTATGGGAGAGCTCATCCGGACGCCATTTACGAGTATATTTATCAATGCAATGCTCAAGCACCGTCTGGCGAGATCGCTTTTAGCAATATGAGCTATTCATTCGGTTGGGCTAGACGACCCATGATCGATAGGTTCATTAATTATGTGTTTGTTTAAGATTTTCTTCAAAATCTCAGTGGCTTTTTGAAATCTCGGTAGTATTAGTTGAATTTCGAAACAGTCTAAAAACGTAACTGATGTCCAATTAGCCCTAAAATTTATTAAAAAATATGGAGTTATGCACTTCTCGTTCGCTTCTTATTCTATTTCACCGTATTATTTTCAAACATTTTTTTCTTTTTTGCTTCATGCATTATCCTCATTTATATGAACTTGTTTTCGTGTTATCGTTTTTTTCGGCATTATATTATGCTCCACTGTTTCCTAAAATGCAGATGATGCATTGCACTATTTATAAAATAATCAAATTTTAAGAATAGCTGCATTATCACAAGAAGTGCCGTTAACGTTTGTTTATGGTAGCAAAAGTTGGATTGATTCAGCGTCGGGTATTGAAGTGCAACAGCAACGTCCAAACGCCTACGTTGATGTTCAGGTTCGTTGCATGTTTAAATGTAATCAAATTTCGATTAATTCTGCTGCATGTTTTATGATATCCACTAGAAGTCAACTGGAAGCTTTGTTTAATTTTCATCGATCTGTTTGATTTGTTCATTAAAATGTTTGTATGGAAATGTTAAATGTTCGATTTGTTCATATCGAATGTTGGTTCACTTTTAGTTGTTCATTGCTTGCTTTCAGGTGATTCGTGGTGCAGGTCACCATGTTTATACGGATCGTGCAGAAGCGTTCAATGCTGTACTACGTCGAACCGTAGAAATGATTGATGCGAATGAAGATCTTATCGAGCAGTTTTCGTAATGCTGCATGCAGTCATTTCACAGTTGAATTGTGTTCAGCGCCCACTTATTTAGCGGAAAGGATCGTTTAACTGGAACGAGGATCTGTTTACAATCATTCATCACATTTCTTTATTTCCATCCGTGTAGCTTATAACCTCGCAAGCGAATCTATCATCAGTTTGAGGTGGAAAATTCATGTATCTGTTTCTAGTATTTGTATTTGATTAGCCTTAAAAGTGTTAAGCTTTATTGTCTCAGGATTTTTTTTGTGGATGTTACATATTTACTTGAATGCTCTAAGCGTCTCTTTTGTTACGTGCATATGTAAATACGTATTTATTCATGAGTGTCATTCTCGTTTTCGGCGATTATATTCGTTCACTGTAATAATTTAGTGTGTACGATGCTCAAATGTTAGCATGCATCGGCTATGAATTTATCCGTTGTGTCAATCAATCATTGATCAGCTGCAAACGAGTGTATATGTATTTTCATAATGTGATTCTTCACGTGTTTTGAGTGATAAAATTGATGTTAATCTCGAGTGTAGTATTTTCACATTATTATATTGCTTTTCGCTGTTCAGGTAGTATTCACACTGTGGTAAATAAGCGTAACCGGACAATTTGCCTAAAAACATTTTGCTTAAGGACAGTTTGCCTGTTAGGCAAAATATCCATTAAAAAACCGTCTGTTAGGCAAACTGTTCTTAGGCCAAACGTCTTTAGGCGAATTGTCCCGGGCACCTATCATAAGAGTAGAACTGTTTCAGTGAACTCATTAAAATTCAATGAAACACTCTCCTGTGAACTTTAACTTCTCATTTTCAACAGTGATGAAAGTTCGACAATTTAGATGAGGCATCGTTAAAGGTAATCGTTCCGTCCTAATTGTATCGTTTTGAAATATTTCATTAATGCGGTCTATCATCATCGAAATGTAGATCTATAAGATTGCTATTCGCTATTCAGGCAACGATAAACAACGGAAATTGGTTAAACCACACATTACTATGATTAGATGTGATAATATTTGCAGTGCTGATTTCAGCTCAGTTTCTCCCATACGATAAGCGAAAAAGAAATGAAGCGAAGTTGATTGGTTGTGAAAGAAGTGTGATTCGAAAGAGTCGTTTGAAAGCTCATGAAATCTCCTAGTAACCAGTTATTCGCCGTCCGATTATATATTGGATATGAGAATTTGTTTGCGTTCGGACGGGTCGTTTGCTTTGAACGGGCCATTAAGCAATGTTGAGGTTACATTATAAATAGTTATTGGCAGTAAGCTTCGAATCGAATTGCGTATGGGTCGTCGACATTGTTTTAATGCGGTAATACATGACACATTGTAGCATGCGTATGCAGTGAAGAGACAACAATGCGAGATCATTGAAAAGCTTGTTGCGTTCAAGATTGACTCCACTCGTTCATATATATGAGTGTTAAACGAACGATTTGATGGTATGCATTTGGTTAGCTGTTCACATGCCTTTAGATACAACTGTTGACAGTGTTGTTTGTATATACAACTCTCATTAAATATGTTTCATTCTATGTGCCAGCTGCAGCCTTCAGAAGCACTTTCCCTAACACGTCATCTCATCCTTTTTTTCAAATTTTTCGTTATATCTTTCAAGCATAGCCTATGAAGAGCTGAAACCCATGATAAAGAAATTGAAATAATCTTCGGTGTACACCTATTTCGTAAGATTAGCTATTCTTTTGTTCAGGTTTGCTTTTATTTAAACGGTGCACAAATATGTCAACATCAAGTTGCACGGTTTTTTTTCTGCTTATTAATAAAGAAACATCATCACCTCTGATTTGTTTTTGAATCA